CAAAATAATTTTTCCTTTAGCTGAGTTGAGCTTGAATGATCATCCCTAATTTGAGCTTGAGATTGATTAACTAATCAAATTTTTTCTACGATTTTTAGTTGTCTTACGAGCATATTGATTTGTAATGAAAGAGAGAAAATGATTATTATTCAAATAATTATTATAATAAAATGAAAAGTTACCAGAACGATAATAATAATATCAATTAATATAAGAAAGTGAGATATAATTTTTAAACTCAAATTTGACTCATTAGCTCATCATACTCATCAGCTCATGAGCCATTTATCAAGTCGAGCTCGAGCTAGCTCATGAGTAGACTTGACTGACTTACAACCCTACCTCTCTTCCCTCAGCCAAAGAGCAAATAACATCAAAGCAAAGCATATAATCTTTTCTTTCTAAATTTACAGATGTGAAAGTAATGGCCGGTGGTCCATGAACTACGACTGCTTTAGCTGGCCTTATAAATGCGACGTCGACTGCTTCATGATAGATCCATGTTTTTTTCTTCCCCACTACTAGCTTCTGGTTGTGCGCCATCATACAAGTTACAAAGAAGAAGAATGAAATATTGGGTACAAACTAATTTAATTAATGAATATTTGGACATTTATTATCAAATATGGAAAGTTTAATTAAATGAATTATTTTATATTAAATTTGATACAATAATTTTATTATGAAATGTATCTAAAGCATGTTTTAAAACTTTACATTATTGAAGATTTTGTTCATATTTGTAATGCCGATTTAATTCATGATAATAGGCTGATTCTAGGGGTGTCAATATTTGACACGACACGAAAACCCGACTCGAACCCGACCCGAAAAATCCGGGTTGGACCCGACCCGAATGCAAAACGGGTCGGGTTCGGGTTCCAGAAATCGACCCGTTTGAAAAACGGGTCGGGTTCGGGTTGACCCGGCGGGTTGCCGGGTCAACCCGTTTGACCCGTTTAGTTTAAAAAAATTTCGAATTCCCGCCCTGCCCGCTGCCCCCACCCCCTGCCCGCTGCCCCCGC